GCAAGTTCCCAATGAATCTCTGCCAGCATTTCTCTGAGTTTTTCAAGAGATTTCCTGGGGATTCTTCTAGTAAGAGTTGACTAGAAAAGTAACACTAATCAAGTATGAAATACACATAATGATTGATATAAGAAACGAGATTTATTAGTTGAATCAATAACATCACCTTTACGTTCTGAAAATAATCATCAACTTGAATATATATATCTTCATCAGATAATTTTCAAAAACAAAATTCCGTTATAATAATTACATAAAAAACTTATTCAAATTTATCATTTATTTCTTATCTTTTTAATTGCCTCTCAAATATTTTTCATTCTTCAATAATCTATATTGATAATTTAATAAATTATCAACATCCAAATACATATAATATTTACTATCTTATTTGTGTTGATTATTTTGATTCAATTATTAAATGAATATTAAGTTTAACTATACTTAATAATTTTAATGCACATATTAATTATTTATTTCTTATTATCAATACACCATCATATGAACTTATAAAACATTTCTATTCAATAATAATAATAGATAAACGAACTATAATGATTCTTCATTATCATTCAACATTTGATAATGAATCATTATTATTATGTTCAGGTAATCGAACAACATTTGAAATATTTATGTTCGAAAATAAAATATATTGAATCAAATGATAACGAACAAAAACAATTCGACTCATCTAATACTATTTCATTTTTATCTCAATCCAACAATATTAAAAATATATCGATAATAGATATTTCGAATCAAACATTATAATTAAATGCATTAATCAATTGGGAAAATATTCCTAATGAATCTTTGTTTGTATCATCAGTAACGAAACATAGAAAAAATTAAATCAATATAGAATTTTCGAAAAAAAAAACAAATTCATTATCTGAATATTGTGTAGTAAATATTTGTGAGAAATATTAATTTCTCAAAGTACATCTTTACTCCATGATGTAATCAATATCATCTATAATATTGTTTGTTTGATGTTGACTTAATCATTTATTAGTTTTTGGTTAAAACTTCTGTTTTGATAATACTAAACATAGTATGAAAGGATTATTGAATCAGAAGAATGAACATATATCATTTATTTTTGAATTTGATTATCTAATTAAACAAAGACTATACTAATGTACTCGTGGCTTTTGTTGCTGTTCGATCATTGCAATATTTGTTGGTTACTTATGTTACCGTAGGGAAATTCAGCAAAACTTCATGACTTGTAAGAGTAACTAAAACAGATATTAATAGATTTTTATTTAGTTTCGTGTTCTGAATTATATGAAAAGAAGTAAGAGAAATGATAAATATTTTCATATACTTTCTGTGTAGAATAACTAAAATGAAACTTCATTATATAGAAATTTAATAAAAATAGATCACATAAAAATATCAAAAAAAAAGAAAAATAATCGATCAATAGCCAAAAAATTCTAACATATTTTACAATTTTGAAAAATAGTAAATAAAAACAAAAATAATTTTTAAATAAACAAAATCATTCCATTAATTAAACAATAGAAAATAATTCTAAAACATTGAAAACAACTATCTAAACTTGAATTATTGAACATGAGAAACTGTTTTGTTCTTTCTCTACAATTTAATTATCTTGTTCTATTTTATTAACCGATTTTGATTCGATTTCCAATTATGAAATTAGAAGCAAGATTATCTTTATGATGATTTCTGTCAGATCAACATTATACAAATGAACAATAGATAAACATTTCTTGAGGACGATTTTCTACTAAATACGAGATATGTAGCGAAGTCTATTATGTCTAAAAGTAAATGGCTAGTTTCTAGATAAATAAATGATATCAACATGATGTATTTTACGATATCAAAAGAAACTGATAATCCCGAAGCTCTCTCAATTGATGAAGAGATGTAATCGTATTTAAGAAACTTCGTAACACGCAAGAATATTTCGACGATTATTCTCGATTTTCGAATGTTACACTTCATAAGTATTGTTTATTTGCATTTTCTTATCTTCTTGTTTTTTTTTTTGTCGAGATGACCTTAATAATAAATGTTGTTCAAAGTCGAATATTAAAACTGACTTAATCAAATTAGATTTAAAAATATATAATAGTGAGTAATTGAATAACTGAACCTGTTCAAAAGATTCTTGATAATAACATTTTGATATATTCTTCATTTTAAATTACTTTAGACATTAGGAAAGTTCTACTAGATTAACTATTTCAAAATTTCATTCAAAAAATTATCATCCGATTGAAAAATCATATCAGACAATTAAACTTTTAATGAGAATTTCTATTAATGAAAAATAAATCTTCTAGTGTTTTGTTTTGTTCGATTCCGGCAGGTGAAAGATCTCTATTCAACAAATGGCGTCATCTACTGACTGCCGAAAAATGAATGGATAATATAAAGACGAGAGAAAAAATGGTAGTCAGTAATGCTCCATTCATTCTTCTCGTTTACTGTACTAAACACGTTTGTTCGTTACTGTCGATTATATTTTTCTATAATGAACAATATAAAATGAGAAAAAATATACAAAGACCGTAAGCTAGATCGATTTAATTGTTTATAATAGAGAAAATAAAACAAAATAAAAAAAATAACTTGGTCTTGATTAGAAATTAATCGTATTTCTAAGGATTCATATTGAAAAATATAACTTTTTTCTATGAGTCCTATCTTTTTAACTATTTCCATTGTGCACTGGAGACACATAAAGAATGAAAAAAAAAACAGAGGAGAAAAGACGACAAGAGGGAGTATATTTAATTTCATTCGTATTCTCGTTTGTCGATCTGTACCCTCATCATCTATTTCTCATGAGATTTTCGTGTTAGACTTTTTTTTTTGCATTTCATCTAATAGAAAAACTAAATAAAGAAAGAGAGAGACAACGAGAGTGAGGGAGAGAGAAGGGAAAAGAAGAAGAAAATATTAGTAACTAGTTTCGCTTCATCATTTGTTCTTCTAAATCATGTAAATATATTCTATAGATAGAAAGAATGAGAGAGAGATGAGATTGTAACGTCTGCCGTCTGTCTTTGTTATTTCTTCGTCTTTTTTCTTCTTTGTATATCTATGTATTCTTTGTACAGTTGTTTAATTGTTTTCTAAACACTTAAATGATATTCATCGTTTATTAATTCAGGTTTTGTTTTAATTGACTTGATACATGAAAAAAGAATAAGTTCATGATGAACTTTTTCATTATCCTCAAGTTCATTTCTTTTTTTTCCTCTTCAACATCAGATGAGTTTCCATTCGCTTTCTGTTTATGAGAGAGTTGTAGTTGTTGCTTTTTTTTTTCTCTTTTCTTCTCCACTTCTTGCGTGTCTGTTAGAGCAGATCAAGCAGTGTCCGTGTGGTAGCGCCATCAACAGCAATAAGCAGGGTGAAATAAAGAAAGACGACGAAGAAGAAAAATGAGTCGGGCAAGCAAAGGCAGCAATGCTGCTTTCGCACAAGTCGAGTGTCGCTGAATCATTCTTGATTGCTATAGAAGAAAAAAGAAAGAAAAGGAGAGGCAGAGAGAGAGAGACAGAAAAACGAGAGACCAGCAAGTACATGAAAAAAAGAAAAAGCTAGAAAACACCGACGTGATTACTCGAATATCGTTGACAGTTTTTCAGAAAGAATGAGTCGATAATAAATTTTTTCTATGTCTTTTTTTTCTTTGTATAGTTTGACACATTGGTAAGATCTATTCATTCTTTTTCTTTGATATTATAGGTGATTTAATGATTAATTGTCATAGAGTATTTATCGAAAATCTTAGACAAACATATTTAATCCTTTTTCTAATACATATATAAAGAACGGAAATGGTCTGTACAATTGAACGTTTGTCGCCACTTTTTTTTCTTTCCCTCTCGCACGCTCTCTCTCTCTCTCTTCGACAATTAGGTTGAGATGAGGCAAAGAATACTCTCGAATAGGCAATTGATCGGCTCATTGACGACAGATGTTGAAATGAATGAGAAAGAATGAGAGAAGGCCGAGAGAATGTTGTCTCAATAGATATGTATACATTGATGACATTAGTCATCTTGTCGAGCGAGCCTATATTGTTGAATTTCATGTCGTGGCATTTTTAATACTCGAATAGTTGTATTATATCATGAAATCTATACGAATTCGATGATAATTTAGCATATTTAGGTTAATTGATTCTCTACATTGTATGAATACAATAGCAACATCTGATTATACTCGATAAATAACAAAAAACAGTACGTCTCTTATTTCTTGTACAATTATGTTTATAGCCGATGGGAGAGATCTAATGGGTAGGAACGTCTTTTCTTATTTGATAAATAAAGACAGTTGCCAAGTTCATGAAAAAAAATAAAGATAATTGAGTGGGAAAACAGGTGTTTATTATCAAACTATTAGATTATCTGAATACACGTTGACAAGTTCAAAAGGTCAACAAAGGTGTGAAAAAGAAAGAAAGTGTAAATGTGTTACAAAACACAGTAGAACATGTACATTATTCATCTCTCATTCAATTATTCTTCTCTTCTACTATTCATATTGGTAATTCTCATATTTGAAATATATACATCTGGTTCCAGTGACAAAAGTTTTCATGTATTTGATTGTACAAGCTGACACATACATAGTTGTGCACAGTTGCTGAACTATTCGTCCCATTTCTCTTTTCTTCTTTCTTTTTTCTTTGTATGTATTTTGTGATTTATAGCCAACATCATTACCAATACTGATTCCGCCCAGTCCACCATTTATCATCGTATCCTTTTGGTTATTTGATCCTATTCATAGAGATTGTTATATATGAAAAAAAAAGCCTGAGGTGTCCTTCTTTTTGTCTGTATGTCTGTCTGTCTGTCAATCTTTCTATTTTATACAATATTGATAGAAGAAAAAAAAACTGTCTAATAAAGGTCACTATTGTCATCAATTCAATATTTATCTTTTCGATTTCTTCGATTTTATAGATTATTAAATATACGAGATTCGAACGAGCATTCATGTCGGATCAAAGCCCAATTAATGATCCACTTATTTCATTTGACCAACAACAACAACAACAACAATCATCTCCAACAGTAACAACACCAACAAAACAAAAAACAAATGATCTTTATGATAATCTATCATTTAAAGATATAGATCCATTTGGTAATCATAACGGCAATGATACTCATGAACAAGAACATCATTCAAGTAATGGTACTAATAAGGATGAACATCATTATGGAACTAATGGCAATAAAAGTGATGAACTTCATGCATTTTCATTAAATAATGATCTTTTTCCGGTGGATACAAATGAAAATGAAAAAGGTAATAATGATATTAAAAAAAAAAAACTAAAAGAAAAAAAGGAAAAAACAAGAGTCAAGCTTATATTTTTTTTTGTATTTTTGAAGTTTCTTCGCATGATTTTCAACTTCATCATCATCATGAATTTGCAACAAGTAAAAATGAAGAATCAGATGATTCACCATTAAGTTTGAATTCAAGTCGTAATGGTGATGTAACAGACAAAAGTACACTTTTACTTGAACTTGATCCTAATGCGCCCGATTTGGATCGTATACATGCAGATAAAACGGGTTTGACACCATCACCAACTAACGATTTATCATCACCACAACATTATAAAAATGATATTTCTCTTGATGTTACTGACAGTTCAACTGATGCAGATACAATTAAACATGAACAACAAATGAATTTAACAAGTTTTACTAATCCATTAAATGATCTTATGTTAACATCACCAATCAAAGAAAATATTCATTCTCCTGTTAAAGATGAAATGCATGAAGAAATTCATTCACCAATCAACAAACGACTAGATGATTTACAATTATCAATTAAACAACAATACGATGAAAATCTATCATCACCTATCAACCAACAACATGAAGATACTCAATCACCAGTTAAAGATAAACATCATGAAGATATTCATTCTCCTGTCAAACAGGAACAACATGAAGTAGTTCAGTCACCAATCAAAGAACATCAAGAAGAAAATCTTCAATCGTCTGATAATGAACAACATCAAGAAATTCATTCACCAATTGTGCAACAACATCATGAAGATTTACAATTACCAGTTACAGAACAACAATATGAAGTTATACCATCACCTGTCAATGAACAACATGAAGGTATCCAAACATTATTGAAAGATGAACAACATAGAGAAATTCATTCATCCGTCAACGAACATCAAGAAGAAATTCTTCAATCACCTGTTAAGGAACAACATATTGAAGAAATTCATTCACCAATTATAGAACAACATCATGAAGATTTACAATCATTAATTACAGAACAACAATATGAAATTATTCCATCACCTGTCAATGAACAACATGAAGGTATTCAATCACCAGTTAAAGATGAACATCATGAAGATATTCAACATTCATCTGTTGAAGAACAACACCATGAAGAAATTCATTCACCAGCCAATGAACATCAAGAAGAAATTCTTTCATTACCTATTAAGGAACAACATATTGAAGATATACAATCATCACCAATAACAGAACAACAATATGAAATTATTCCATCACCTGTTAAGGAAGAACATGAAAATATTCAATCATTAGTTGAAGATGAACATCATGCAGATATTCAACATTTACCTGTCGAAGAACAACAACATGAAGAAGTTCATTCACCAGTCAAAGATGAACATCATGAAGATATTCAATATGCAACTGTTCAAGAAGAACAACACGTAGAAATTCATTCACCAGTGAAAGAACATCAAGAAGAAATTCTTTCATCACCTGTCAATGAACAACATATTGAAGATATTCAATCACCAGTTCGAGAACAACAAGATGATAGTATTCCATCACCAGTTAAAGAACAACAAGAGATTATTCATTCACCAGTCAAAGAAGAACAACATGAATATTTAACTTCACCTGTTAAAGAAGAAGCTCAATTACTTTCTTCATCAGTTAAAGAAGAAGCAGGACAACAACATGACAATATTTCATTAGGTAATGAGGAAGAGAATCTATTGAATGATCAAGAAAATGTAATTATACCACCTAAATCAAATGAACATGAACAATCATTGAATGATGTTGAGGAAAAACGTTTATTCAATGAAGCATGTGAAGATGTTGATAATGCTGCTAAGGAATTAGCAGCTAAAATTGATCTTGTTACTTCACCATCACCACCGGCTACATCAGATCGACAACCACCACCATTATTTTCAGATATAGAAGCACAAGCAACATCACCAACTTTGGAAACAGCTTCAGAACAACCTCTAGCTTCTACTCAATCCAATGATGATGCAAAAATACTATCAACAACTGAAGAACATGAGAATGTTGAACAAGCAATATCATCTGCTACTTCACCAAAATTAGATTCAACTTTACCAATAGCATCTTCACCAACAGCTCCAGTAGCAGCATCACCTATTAAACCTACTACTTCAACAACAAAGAAGCCTGCAAGTGCTGCTCATACTACACGACCAAGTCTTGCTACAAAATCTAAACCATCATCTGCAGCAGCTGCTACAACAAAAAGTACAGAACATAAGCCATCAGCTGCAACAGCAGCAGCTGCATCATCAAAAACTATGGAACATAAACCAACTACTGCTGCAGCATCAAAAACGACCGAACATAAAACAACAGGTTCGACTACAAAATCTACTGAACCAAAACCAACAACAACAGTTCGTAAACCTCCTCTATCAGGACCAACAAGTGGCGCAGCGGCTTCTCACAAACCAAAGGTAACACCACCTTCTCCTTCACATGAATTATCAACAGGGCCAAAACCAACTGTATGTATCTAAATTTATTAAGTATATTTCAATATTTTTATATACATAATTTAGCGTGATGTTCCAAGTAAATCTACAGCATCTGCAGGAGCCGCAACAGCAACAACAGCTAAACCTAAACCAACAACTAGTTCTACAACAGCAACAGCTGCATCGCGATCAACAATGAAACCATCGGTAACAAAATCTACTCGCCCATCAACAGTTCATAAAACTCCGGATGCACCTACATCTGATCAACAAACAACAATACTTTCAACAGCTCCAGAAGGTAGTGCATCATTAACATCTGCTGCTGCATCATCAGCTCCTGTTAGTGCAACAAGCAAAACAACTGCTCGGCCACCACAAACTTCAACAAAACCACCAACAAAAACTGCTTCTAGTGGTGCTACTCATGTTCCTTCACATTCAACAGCTTCAGCTGTTGCATCACGTGTATCAACTTCAGCTAGTAAAACAACTGTTGCAAAAGAACGTCCAAAATCTCATACTCGTACTACAGGTAAAACTTATCTTGTTTTTTTTTTTATTAGAAATCAAAATGCAATTTTCTTTTTGTTTCATTTTTTCTTTAGCTACACGACCAGCTACAGCAACTAGTTCATCAACTACAGTTGCTCCACAACGTGCAACAAGCGCTAATCGCCCAACAACATCCGACGCAACATCAGGTTCAGCACGTGAAAGTGCATCGGGAACAACGGTGAGATAATAAAAATATTTATTAATATCTTTGTTTTCTCTTACACTTTCTCTTATGATTGATCGTTAGCCGAAGTAAAAAAAACTCGGCTTATCTGCTATTATCAATCATGATCACACTAAGATGTTTTTATATTATCTTGCTTTTTATTTTCCTTCTTTTCTTCCCACTTGTGTACGGCTCATTATAATTCCCTTTTTTTTTCTTCATTATTTAAATATTCTGCCAATTTTATTACTCCATAGGTGGTCTAAATATGTTGCTGATAGCAACATTTGATAGTGTTTTGTTGCTTTTTTATTCTCTCGTTTTTTTCTATAAGCATATTTAATTGAAAATACATTTCTTGTTTTGACATTATCACATAATAATGTCTACGGATGATTATCGTCATATACATCATATTATTTCAACTAAACCATTACCATTATTAAATCCAAATGAAACAAATCATGCACTTCATTATACACAAACAATAGATGATGAAAATGAGGTATTAATAATAAAGATAAAAATAAATTGTCTTTATAAATTGTTTTAAATTAAAATTTTTAAGATACCAACAAATACAAAATTACTTCATCGTCGAGTTCATTTAAATGATTTACCAGATTATCTTCTAAGTGGTGCATCAAAACAACTTCTACTTCATCGAACTCGAACACCATCAACACCGTCTGTTTCACAATATGATGATAATTCAGGATATTTTACTACTAGACAAAATGCAACGTCATATTCATATTCACCATTATCATATAAAAGACATTATGATGATGATTTAACAATGTTAAATAAACGACATGTTATCAAAGAACGTATTATTCCTGTTGATCATCAACGTGCAACAATTATTCATGATGAAAAACCAACGGTAGGAAAAACAATAAGACGCTCTTTTTAAATTGTTTTGGCTTCAGTTTTCATCACAACCATCACTTAAACGTTTAGCTCAATAAATAGGTAGAGTTGTAAGTCGATTACTTAGGTTTAATGAGTTTAAATCTCGATGATTATAGTTTTATATGAAAAATCTTGATGGTATAGTGCGTTTGACAACACATGATGAAATTGTTTTCTATAAAGCACAACAGATGTGAATAGTTATTTTGAGAAAAATCTAAGATAATTTTGTCTTTGAATTTGATTTTAATTCATAATTAATCCTTTTTCAATTTCTTTTTTTATTTAATAGATTTGGACAACACCAATTCAATTAACTACTCCAACTGTAGTTCCCGTTGCTCCTGCTCCACCATCAGTATTACCTGTTGTTCTCTATCAACAACCACAACCTGTTCCAGTACCTGCTATATTTGCACAACCACAACCAATCATTCATGCTCGTGCTATTATTCCTCCACCACCACCACAACAAATTATTCATACTCAACCTATTATTCAGCAACAAACACCACGTGTAATTGTTGAAGAACATCATCATCATCATCATCATACAACTCCTCAGTCACCGAAACCTGTGCCGGTATTACCACCGCCACCTCCTCCTGCACCTTTAACAACAACTGAAATCACAGAAACCATTCGTACTGTTCGTCGACGACCACGTGCAAGAGAAACTGAAACAATTATTGAACAAAAAGAACCCATTCAAGTAAAGATAAATAAAATTTTTTGTTTTAAATATCTCTTATAATTTTGTCTAGAAAATAACAACAGAAGAAATAAGTGTCGAAAAACGACGACCCCGAGTAGAATTTGAAGAAGTTCAAATACAAAGTGATCCAATATCGAAACCTATACGTGAAGTTATTGTAGAACATCATGATACTATTTTTGTACCACAACAAAAAGAAATTATTGAAACAGAAATTCCATCAACTATAGAAGTATGTTAATCAAAAATAAAAAAAGAAATTCTACATTTTCATCTATATTTTTCTTAATCTTTTATAAGATCGTTGATACAAAACCAATATATCAAATTAATAATGAAATAACTGAAATCCCAATAGAATCAAAACGTGTAATAAAAGGAAAAAAAATTGTTGGCTCAAAAATTGAATCATGGAATCGTGGATATAGACCAGGTGGTGGAAATATTAAAATTTATAATAAAGGTTTAAAATTTGAAGATAATGAAGAACCTATTATTGATACATACGATACAACTATTACAAAACAACAAGGTGTTGTTCAAGTTCATACAGAAGTTGATGATACACCTGAAGAAACAACTGTTGAAGTTATTACTAGACCATTTGAAATTGAACAAACTAGTCGAGTTGTTACTGTTACTCGAGAAATAAAAAAAGTACCAACTCCACCACCACCGACACCACCACCGCCGCCTCCTGAACCAATTACAGTAAAAAATCGTAATACATTTAAATTATTGTTTTATATTCTCTTTTAGGTCATTGAAGAACCTGTACCACAAGTTCAAATCATAGATGAAATTATTGAACCACCACCACCTAAAGTTAGTCAAAAATAAAAAATAATTTGATTGTAATCGAAACGAAAATCTTTATAATATTTAGGTAATCAAATTTCCTACCCTTTATAAACGACGAATTAAACGTCCTCAAGTAATTATTCAACAACCAATAGTACATAAAATAATTGAAGTACGAAAATAGATCGAAATAATTCTTTGTTTTTATTTTCATATATTTTTAATCATTTAGAAACCTCCTTCACCTCCGCCACCACCTCCACAAATTATTATAGAATATGTTGAAGAACCCATTCAAGTGAGTATTACAATTAAAATTTACATAAATAAATATTCATCTATTATGCGTCTATTGTTCCTTAATTGGTCACAAACGTTTCCGCAATCTGAATATAGTCCTATGATTATACATTCATTTCTATAGACACACGAAATTCGATATACATCGATTAAGTTCTTTTTTCTCTTAAATTCAATGACAGATATTTTCATCTTACAATGGAAGTTTCCCAACTGGTTTCGAACTTTTGGCTCCATCTTTTTGCAATAGATAGATTTCACTGAGACTAAGAAAATCCTAAAAGGATTCGTGCTCATATCCTATTGATCAAGAGTTATGACCGATTTCCTGAATTTTTAGTCTATCCGTAGGGATTCATCGGAAGATAAAATTACAAGATTTTGGTCTGAAATTTTGCCCAAGGATAAATCTAATGAGCATTAGAAAAATTACTCTGAAAGTTTCAGCCAAAACGAATGTTCTCTTCTCGAGATATTACGTATTCATGCGAACTCGTTTTTTGTAACAAGCATGCGACAAGTGACTAATTTATGCAAATTCAATATCTCGAGAAGAGAACATTTGCTTTAACTGAAACTTTCAGAGTATTCTAATTGTCATTAGACCTATCCTGAGACAAAATTTCAGATCGAAATTTTTCTAATTTGATTTTCCGATGATTACCTACGGATAGACTGAAAATTCAGGAAATCGGTCATAACTCCTGATCAATAGGCCATAGACACGAATCCTTTTAGGATTTTCTTAGTCTCACTGGAATCTACTTATAGCCAAAACATGGAGTCAAAAGCTCGAAATCAGTTGGGGAATACTCCTTTCCTTCGTTAGTAATCATTTTCAATTTTAGATAATCGATTTAAGAAATTTCTCGAATAATTCTATGAAATTAACATCAAAAAAATATATTTATTTTCTAGGTACCAACACCTCCGCCAAAACCAGTTGAATATTATTTAGCTCAAGAACAATATTTAACTGAACTTGAATTTGATCAAGCTTTAACAAAATCACCAGAAATTTATCCTACAGAAATAGTAAAGAAAAACAACCATCTTATTGAAAATAAAATAATATACGAAATTTTTTTTTCTATAAGGTTGATTCAAGTACATATAATTTTGATTATGAAAAACAATATGTAACTTTCATACCAAACCAAATCAATGAATATAATCATATAGAACAAACAACTGATTATGATCAAGAAAGTTTACCTTATCAACAAGTAAATTATTTTTTTTGCTAAATATTTTATTTAAAATAATTTTTTTATTTTTAATTAAAAAGCTTCGTTCAATTACAAATGATTTCGATTATGAAAAACAATATGCGGAATATATTTCAAAACAATTTGACGAATTTCATCAATTCGAACAAACATTAGATTATGAATCAACAAAATTATCTCTTAAACAAGTAAATTATCATTCTTATTTCTCTCATTTACTATCATGACTTTTGCACTATAGATTAATAATACAAATAACTTTTTTATTGTTTTTTTTTCTTTCTTTGTAGCTTAATCCGACGAATTATGATCTAGATTTTGATAAACAATATGCAGAATATTCATCAACACAATATGATGAATATCATCAACCTGAACAAACATTAGATCGTCATTCAACAAAATATTCACTTAAACAAGTATGTATAATTAAAAAACTCACAAACATTGACTTACAAAAATTTTATGTCTTATGTTTTAGCTTCAACCTGATGTATATAAATTTGATTTTGAAAAACAATATGCACACTTTGAAACAAATCAATTTGATGAATATCATCAACCGGAACAAACATTAAATTATAATCCATCAAATTTATCACTTAAACAAGTAAAGAAAATATTTATTACTAGACTCTTATGTGCTGATATTCTTTTTTCGATCCTAGTCTCAATAAATCTGCTCTAGAGAAAAATATTCCAAAACATGATTCGTATCATGACTAAAAAAGAAGTTTTGCCATAATCGTTTTATTTAATCGACAACTAGTAGTTTTTCGAGTCATCTTTCTTGAATGATATTCTGATTGATAGGATCTATAAGATAATTTGCTTAAAAACCAACTATAATCTTTAGTCCCAGTCTCGGCAGATCTTAAAATTTTAGTTCTATATATCTCTATTTATTATGTATTTTTTAGCTTGAACCCGATGTTTATAAACTTGATTTTGATAAACAATATGCAGAATATGTACCGAATCAATTAAATGAATTCAATGAAACTGAACAAATATTAGATCGTGATCCAACTAAATATTCTCTTAAACAAGTAAATTTAATAATCAATGTTAATTTAATTTCTTCTTTTTTTGTTTTGGCTTTTATTTTTAGCTTCAATCAGATATTTATAATGATGATTTTGAAGAACAATATGTAACATATGAAACAAATCAATTTAATGAATATAATCAACCTGAACAAATATTAGATTATGACTCAACAAAATTATCTTTTACAAAAGTAAAAACTAGGAATGTTGTTGTTGTTTTTTTATTTTTATAAATTCATTTCTTTTGTAGCTTCGTTCAAATACATATAATCTTGATTTTGATCCTCAATATGCAACATATTCATCAAAAGAATTTCAAGAATATCAACCTATTGAACAAACTTTTCCTTATGATCCAACACAATTATCATTACATAATGTAGAAAACTTTTTTCTTTTCTTTTTCTTTTCTAAAATTTTCTTATTTTAGGCATCAGAAACATCAATAGAATATTTACTTTTTAATCGAGCACTTCATGCTGTTTGTGAATTTGTTGATGATACAATTGAATATTCAACAGTCGATTCATATGATCGACGTATTCGTCCAAAAAGTGTTCAATTACCAATAGAAAAATTTAAAATAAAACATTTTCGTGCTATATCACATGACCCACCATCTATTTTATGGCGTCATCCAACAATCGATATTCCAATAAAACGTCGAAAAATCTTGAAAAAAAAATTAGCTTGGAAAAAAATTCATTATGCTATTGCACGTATTGATTGTTGGAATAGAAATTATCGTCCACAATTAATAAAACGACAACATTTAAAAACTATAAAAACTTTCTATCATCCAAAACCATATGATACATGGAATGATGATTTATCATCAATAACAACATCTCGAACTATTCCAAGTCATATACGACGTGTTGAAGCTAAACCAAAAATTGATACATGGTTAAGAAAATCTTATATTCGACCTAAATCAAAAATAAAAATACCTAATAAACCAATAGATATTCATGGTAAAACACGTATTGATACTTGGTTAAAATTAACACCACGATCAAGAAGTACAAGTGCTCGAGTATGAAATTATTTAAATAAAATTTAATAGAAAAAAAAGAAAAAAACTTTTTCTTTTAAAAAGATTATTCATCGACCAATACAAGTTACTGGTAAAAGTAAAGTTGATAGTTGGTTAAGACCACCTATACGTAAAGCTCATAGTGCTTTTGAAGTAAATTTGAATATTGTTTTATATGAATATATAAACTTAACTATTTATCTTAGATTGTTCATAAACCATTACATATTATTGGACATAGTCGAATTGATACATGGAGAAAACATTCAATACATCCAACATCTCACTTTCAACGTGTATGAAAAGAATTAAAAACGAAATTTTTTAAACATTTTGTTTAATTCTTTTTTCTTTTAAAGATTGTTCATAGGCCAATACAAGTGCAAGGAAAAAGTCGAGTTGATACATGGCTTCGACAAGATCCTATTCATCAAACTCAAATTAAACGAACAGTAAATGTTGAAAAATAAAAAGAAGAAAAACATTATTCATATTTGTTTCTCATTAGATTCATAAACCTCTTGTTATTCATGCACGAAGTCGTATTGATACATGGAGAAAACAACAAGTTGAAGAAAGATCACAATTGCAAAAAGTAAGATTTCGTTTTTCAACTTACGAGGAAAATTCTCGAGATGTTCAGCTGCGTTTTGACTCATTTGAATTTTGTACCATCAGCCGTAAAGGGGTTCTGGACAAGTCACTAATGACTGTTCAGCTCGAGTCATCCGTTCGATAGCATCTTGATTAAGTTGTGACATACACGAGTTCTCGTAGCTAATCAGAGTGTACGGGAAGCTCAAGGAATTGAGCGCAAGGACTCTGCGCATATTTAGATAAGAAAAAAGTTAAATGCTTCCGAGATCGTAGCTTATTGACAGAAGTTATTTTCGTTTTCCTGAGAGGTAGAGATTCTCAAAAAAAATAAAATAAAATAAAGAGTTTTAATCTGAACTTATGCATATAGATAGATTTGATAGTTTTGAAACTTTCACATTTTATNGAAGAAAAACATTATTCATATTTATTTCTTATTAGATTCATAAACCTCTTGTTATTCATGCACGAAGTCGTATTGATACATGGAGAAAACAACAAGTTGAAGAAAGATCACAATTGCAAAAAGTAAGATTTCGTTTTTCAACTTACGAGGAAAATTCTCGAGATGTTCAGCTGCGTTTTGACTCATTTGAATTTTGTACTATCAGCTGTAAAAGGGTTCTGGACAAGTCACTAATGACTGTTCGGCTCGGGTCACCCGTTCGATAGCATCTTGATTAAGTTGTGACATTCACGAGTTCTCGTAGCTAGTCAGAGTGTACGGGAAGCTCAAGGAATTGAGCGCAAAGACTCTGCATATATTTAAATAAGAAAAAGGTTAAATGCTTCCGAGATCGTAGCTTATTGACAGGAGTTATTTTCGTTTTCCTGAGAGGTAGAGATTCTCAAAAAAAATAAAATAAAATAAAGAGTTTTAATCTGGAGTTATGCATATAGATTAGATTCGATAGTTTTGAAACTTTCATATTTTATTTTGAGATTCATTATCTCACGAAACTGTCAAACTTATCTATGGACAAAATTTCAGATCAAAACTCTTCTTTTTAACTTTTTCGAAATATCTGTCTCTCTATAAAACGGCCATTATACTGATGAATCCAAATGGAACATCTCTCGTTAGTTTTTAAATAAACTTTCATACATACATGTATATACATATAGATTTTTCATCGACCAATACAAATTGAAGCGAAAAGTCGAATCGATACATGGCAAAAACATCCATCAAATATTCGATCTGATATTTCTAAAGTATTATATGAATATTTTTTGTTATTGAAAATCAATCGATTTATTTATCTAGATTTTTCATAAACCAATACAAATCATTGGAAAAAGTAAAGTAGATAGTTGGCTTCGAAGTTCATCTTATCCAACAAGACGACAACATATAACTGAGGTAATAATGAATTTTTGTAGGAAATGGAAAATAAAATTTCATTTTATTTAGATTCATAAACCATTGAATATCATTGCTCGAAGTCGAATTGATACTTGGCAAAAACAGCCATTACAAACAAAATCAAATTTTGAAAAAGTTTGTTTAAGAAAGAAAAAAAACAAAAAGAAAACAAATTTTGTTTTGTCTTATAATTTAAGATTCTTCATCATCCAATTCAAATTCAAGGGAAAAGTCGAATTGACACCTGGCAAACAACAACATTACGACGAAGAGCTCATAGTGCTACTGAAGTATAAATAATTGTTTCTGGTTATAAATCAATTAAATAACAAATTTTTTCTTTTGTTTCTAGATTCATAAACCTGTTCATATAATCGGCCAAAGTCGACTTGATACTTGGCAAACACCACAAAGAAAACTTCAAACAAGTAAAAATCGTCTAATTCATCGTCCTATTCAAGTAGAAGCTAAAAGTCGAATCGATACATGGCGAACAACAGCATTACGACCACGTGCTCATAGTGCTACTGAAGTATAAAATCTCTCTTTTTTTATATAAATATAATTACTTTCCATTGTTTATAGATTCATAAACCTGTTCATATTATTGGTCAAAGTCGTGTAGATACTTGGCAAACATCTGAAAGAATACCACATTCTTCAAAACATCAATTAATTCATCGTCCAATTCAAGTAGAAGGTAAAAGTCGAATTGATACATGGCGAACAACAGCATTACCACGACGATCTCATAGTGCTACTGAAGTAAAGGCTTATATTTTCTTCTATGAATAAAATTAATTTGTTTTGTTAATAGATTCATAAACCTGTTCATATTATCGGTCAGAGCCGAGTTGATACTTGGCAAACATCCGAGAAAACACCACATTCTTCTAAACATCACTTAATTCATCATCCTATTCAAATTCAAGCAAAAAGTCGAATTGATACTTGGCAAGTAAATACATCACAGCGACGACTCCATAGCGCTACTGAAGTATAATCTTTTATATTCTTGTATGAATATAGTTAGTTTCTATTATTTATAGATTCATAAACCTGTTCATGTTATTGGACAGAGTCGTGTAGATACTTGGCGTACATCTGATAAAATTTTGCCTCCTAGTAAAAATCAATTGATTCATCGTCCTATTCAAATTCAAGCTAGAAGTCGAATAGATACATGGCAAACACAATTTTCACGTCGACGAGCTCATAGCGCTACAGAAGTATGTCTTCTTCTCATTGTTTGTTTTTCGTTATAGAAAGCTTTTTCTTTTAAATTCTATTCACTTAGATTCATAGACCTATTCATATTATTGGTCAAAGTCGAGTCGATACTTGGCGAACATCCGAAAAAATGCCACATTCTTCAAAACATCAATTAATTCATCGTCCCATTCAAGTAGAGGCTAACAGTCGAATTGATACTTGGCAAGTAAATACATCACGTCGACGACCTTATGATCCTGCTCAGGTATTAACTCTTATTTTCTTCTATGAATATTATTGATTTTCTATTGTTTATAGATTCATAAACCTGTTCATATTATTGGACAGAGTCGTGTAGATACTTGGCGTACATCTGATAAAATTTTGCATCCTAGTAAAAATCTATTTATTCATCGTCCAATTCAAGTTCAAGCTAAAAGTCGAATCGATACATGGGGAACAACAACATTACGACGACGTGCTCATAGTGCTACTGAAGTATAAACTTTTATTTTCCTGTATGAATAAAACTAATTTGTTTTGTTCATAGATTCATAAACCTATTCATATTATTGGTCAAAGTCGAATCGATACTTGGCAAACATCTGACAAAATACCGCGTTCTTCTAAACATCAATTAGTTCATCGTCCTATTCAAGTAGAAGCTAAAAGTCGAATCGATACGTGGCAAGTAAACACATCACGTCGACGATCACATAGTGCCACTGAAGTATAAACCCTTATTTTCTTGTATGAATGTAGTTAGTTTTTGTTATTTACAGATTCATAAACCTGTTTATGTTATTGGACAGAGTCGTGTAGATACTTGGCGTACATCTGATAAAATTTTGCATCCTAGTAAAAATCTATTTATTCACCATCCAATTCAAGTTCAAGCTAAAACTCGAATCGATACATGGCAAACACAATCTTCACGTCGGCGAACTCATAGTGCTACTGAAGTATATACTTTTATTCTCTTATATGAATATAATTGGTTTCTATTGTTTACAGATTCATAAACCTATTCATATTATCGGTCAAAGTCGTTTAGATACTTGGCAAACATCCGAAAAAATGCCACCTTCTTCTAAACATCTATTAATTCATCGTCCTATTCAAGTGGAAGCTAAAAGTCGAATTGATACTTGGCAAGTAAATACATCACGTCGACGACCTTATGATCCTGCTCAGGTATTAACTCTTATTTTCTTCTATGAATATTATTGATTTTTCATTGTTTATAGATTCATAAACCTGTTCATATTATTGGACAGAGTCGTGTAGATACTTGGCGCACATCAGATAAAATTTTGCATCCTAGTAAAAATCTATTTATTCATCGTCCAATTCAAGTTCAAGCTAGAAGTCGAATTGATAGCTGGCAAACATCAGCATACCGTCGTAGAGCTCACAGTGCTTCGGAAGTAAAAGAATTTTTCTTCTTCGAAAAAAAGAAGTTTCAATTATTTTCATTTGTTTAGATTCATAAACCTATTCATATTATTGGACAAAGTCGAATAGATAATTGGCAAGAATTAGAAAATGAGTCTCATTCTACAAGAAATCAATTGATGCATCATCCTATTCAAGTTCAAGGCAAGAGTCGTTTAGATACATGGCAAAATAAATCGTTGTATCAAACACGACGTCGTAGTTTATCACCTGTATGGATTCTTTACAATTATTCATAAACTTTTATTTTATATTCATTATTTATTTTTTAGGTTAATAAACCATTCCATATTCTGGGTCGAAGTCGTCTCGATAATTGGAATACTTCTGAATTAATATCTGATAATCGATCAAAATTTTTTCATCAACCACTTAATATTCATGCTCATTCTACAATTGATAATTGGCAAACACAAATAAATGTATCTCAACGATCAAAAAGCGTTCCAACTATTCATGAACAATTATATATTAAACCACAATCACGAATTGATACATGGTTATCAACGAATAATAAAACTCGAGAGAGTACAGTCGAGGTAATTTATTAGTTTATTTTTTCTTAATAATTTATTTTTATTTTTCAAAAAGATCGTTCATAGACCGTTGAATGTCACTGGTCGATCTCAGATTGATACCTGGCAACAAACAACAACACAGATTAATAAGAATAAAAGGGTATTTTTTACAAAATGTTTTCTTCTTTTTCCTAGGTAAACATGTCTTTTCCTCGTTGCAGAAATCGATTAATTATCCAATTCAAGTTAATGCTCATTCTCGTATTGATACATGGCGTAATGAACGAGAAAAACCTATTTCATCAGTTTCGAAACCTATTCATCAACCAATACATGTTCAAGCTCGATCAAAAATTGATACATGGGCATCAAATACTCGTTCAAAAACTGATCATGTTCATCTAATGGTTTGGACTCAAATGAATTTTATCGTTTTACATTCCATAATTTTGCTTTTTTTTTAGGTCAATAATCCTATTTATATAAATGGACAAAGTAAAATCGATACTTGGTCAACTGTACGACAAGGACGAATTGTTAAAAGAGTAAGCAGAAAGAAAAAAATTACTTACAATAAATATCCTTCACATTTGATAGAAAAAACCGTTCAATCATCCTGTAAATATAGCTGCTCGATCACAAATCGATTCTTGGCAACAAATAAAAGAATCCATACGTCAATCGAGTGCCCCTATTGTAATATTTTCATTCAAATTAAAATAAAACCTAATCTATAACTCATAAATCATATTTTAGAACAGACATCAACCATTGCATGTCTTTGCTCGTTCACGTCTTGATACTTGGCAATCAATTCCAAGTAAAGAATCCATTTCATCAGCAACATTTCAAGTATATCTATTTTATTTATATATAATAATAATAATTTTCTTTTGTTTTTAAAAGCTTGCTCATAAACCAATGCATGTTCAAGCACATTCAAAAGTTAATACATGGAATAATAATATAATTCTTAAACGAAATAAAATATTTCAAGAGAAAAAACAATTTATTCATGTTGATACACGATCAAAAATTGATACATGGCTTGAACCATCAACGAAAGTAGATTATTTAATTTTTTCTTTTCCCTATACAATTTAAGTTTGTTTTTTTTCTTCTTAGAATACTTCTCTACATCAATCAAAATCATTATCAAATCGATCAATTGATTTATCACATATAAAACCAACTATAAATACTTGGAATGATAACTATAAGACATCAAAAAATAGTATTGAAGTAAAAGAATTTTGGATAAATATAATTTTTGTTTTTAATATTTATTTATAGATTTTACATCAACCAATTCATGTTGAAGCTCATTCAAAAATAGATACATTTCAATCTCAAAATTTATTAGCTGAAAATCAATTTGACAAAGAAAATCTCTTTCAAGAATCTCATCGAATTCATATTGAAGCTAAATCAACAATTCATCCATGGAGTAATCATCAAACAATTAAACGATATCGATCATTAAGTCCAATTGACAATCTACAACAACAAACTATTTTTATTGATCCAAAATCAACTATTCAAAGTTGGAATTTAAATGTAAATTAAATTCTTTTGATTTATTTATTTTTCTTTTTACATCATTAATTTTTATTTAGGAATCAATAAAAACAAAAGAAAAAGATGTTAATTTAAATCAACGAACAAATATTATTGGAAAATCAAAAATAGATAATTGGAATGATATGTCAAGAAAAATGATTAAACAAAATAAACAAATAAATACACAACCAATACATGTTGATTCACATTCACATATTGATACATGGTCAAATGATATTAAACAACGAAATATATCAACCAGTAATATTAATGAAACACCTTTAATGATTCATTTTGATCATGCTAAATCAACGATTGATAATTGGAATGAACATGTAAAGAAAAAGAATATTTTAGTTTTTATTTATAATTAAAAGAAACTTGGTTTTTATTTTCAAGATGAATTCATCAAGATCACGTTCATTGTCAACTGAACAACAGGTAATCATCTGTTATATTTTACGAACATTACTTGCCATTTTTGTCTGTAATTTTTCAAAAATCATTCCAAAACTTTCAAAGAGAATATCTATTTAATAAGAAATGAAATCTGTTAAGAAATTTCTCATAATATTTTTACCATTCGATAAAATAATGAAACTTACATATTATTTCTCGAGGGTTTTCAAGGCAAAAGAAAAATATTGCATGTCATCTTGGTAAACATTAATATTCTTCTATAAAAAGTGTTTACAAAACAATTATATTAAGATTTTTAAGTACTAGATATTAGCATAAGTACTTCTCGTTTTTTTTTTTTATCACGATCACCATCGTGATCACAATGATTGTAGTAGTACGATCTGTTACAAAACAATTACTCATACTGTTAGTATCCAATATCATATTAATTCACTTTGATTGATGAGCAACATTAAAACAAAAGATCGAATAATATTTCTCGAAAACTAAAAATGAAATAAAAAATCTACTAACTAAATTTTCGAATTATGTGAAACAATTCGAAGGAAAATGTTAGTAGAAAACATCGGAATCTAAAAATTAAACACATATAAAAAGTTTCTCATAATCAGACTTAAATCATTGTGAGAGAGTTTTTTTTTTTGATATCGCAATCATGAACATGTCTTGCAGTGTTAATGTTCGATCTCTACTAATGATACAAGCTAAATTTCGATTGTCTTCTATTTAGAACTTATCGTTTATTGACCCAAAATCAACGATTGATACTTGGCAAGATAATACGAAATCATATCAACGTTTAAAACGAAAATTACTTAAAGTAAATATTGTATATATTTGAGAATATTGAATAGAAAACTTTTCTTATTTATTCAGACACCAGAACCATCAATAATCCGTGAAGAAACACTATATATTTCTAGTCCAACTAATGAAATAAATAATGAACAAACATCAGAGATACAACATCGAATGCATGTATGAATTTTTAGTTTTTATTTTTCTTTAATTTTAATTCAAATTTTTTCTATTTAAGTTTCAACCTGTTTCACAAGTTGATTGTTGGAATTGGTCATATCGACCACGAGTATAGTCCATTAAGTTTTTTTTTTTTTTCATTTTATTCTTTCGATTTATCTATCAGAAACAACTTCATCCATTAAGAAAAACATCTATTCAAAATGATTCTTATGTTCTATCTAATTATGAAGTAAATATTTTTATTTAAGACTTTCATCATAAAAAAAAATTTCAATAATTGATAAGAGTTTTTCAAGGTATTGACTTTGCCATTCTCTTACTCTGTTTAAAAAGTATAAATTAAAAAAGAAAAAGGAGTTCTGTCGGACACTGCAATCTGACATGCTACTTAAAAAAAAAAATTTTAGAATAAGGACCCATATTAAACAAAGAAGCTGCTTTTGAGCCTTATTTGTTGAATATCTTCTGAAAATGTCATGATATAAAGCTGAAAATTTCGTATGATTTGAATGTATCTGGATTAAGATCGATTTTTGAGAGAGGAAATTCTTAAATTTAATGATTTCATTCATTTAGATTCTTCCACCAATTCAATCATCAACATCTGAACGTTTGGTAGATTTTTTAATTCTACTAACATATTGATATGCTTTTTTTTCTTTTCTATTTTAGTAAAAACTTTTGCTTTCGTTTTTTTTCCTCTTTAATGAGCCGTACACATTTTCCCCATTCTTATCTTTTTTAAAATTGGTTATCAATATTAAATTCTATAACTATATACATATATATATTTCAGGTTGCTAGTGCTAAACCACAATGGAATTCTGCAACATCTAAAGCAAGTTCAGCTCAACATACAACACAAAAACCTGCAAGTGGTACTACTAAGGTAATTAATAAAAAATTCTCTAAAGAATTCATATCGACTTCGTTAATAATCAGAACAATGGAATTCCTTTGAGAATTTGTCTTATTAAATACATTTGAATATTCTAATTTTCATAGACTTCAAATCAAAAACCACAATTGAATGCTAAATCGAAAATCGGCTCATTGGATAATGCTCATCATAAACCAGGCAGTAGTAGTACAGCTAAAGTATGTATTTATTTTATTCAAAAACAAATAAAATTTTATACATGACATTGGTTTCTTTTTTGTTTATTTGCAAAGGGTGACAATAAAAAACCTGATTCTAAAGAAAAATCTAAACCAAAAACTGACAGTAATGTTCATGAAATAATGACAACAGGTGGTGGTGATGGTAATGAAGCTAGTGCAACAGTTAATGAAGAACATCCTCAAATAGTTGATGAAACATCAAATGAAATAATGGAATCACAAAAAAATGACGACGGTGACAAATAAAACAAATGAATTAATAAGAGACAATTGATAAATTTCATTCTTTTTTTTTTTTTCACTTTGCTTCTTATTATTTAATCTTCAATAGTCATTATTATATAATCATCGTCTGTGAGAATAATAAATAAAACAAAACATACAAAACAAAACAAAAAAAAAAAAAACAAATATTAATCAAAGTTAATTTCAAAAACTTTTGACATCATTTTTGATCTCGCGCTTGTGTTTTCTTCTTCTTGCTTACTACTCTTCTCTACTTATTATTATGCTTTAATAGAATTACATAAAATATTCTCTCTGTTTTAATATACATATAACAATGATGATGGAACAATTTTCATGTTCTTTTTAGAGCTAGGCTCGCTTTCTTTCATTTCGTTTTTCTTCTTTTCTTTTTTTTTTTTTTTTTTGTATCTTGATCCATACACTTCTTTCTCTTTACGCGTGTTTGTTGGTTGTTTACTAGACAAAAAAAAAAACAAAGAAAAAAAAAAACCTATTCATGCTTTTTTGTTCGTGTTGTGTGAAAATAATTGCTCTAGGCAGAATGCGTGCATTATTTCATTTATTGTTCAACACACTCGCACATTCTCATTAATTAATCAATCAAGATCTCTTCTCTTTCTTTTTTTTTGCTCATTTTCTATATACACATATATATACACACCTAAATAAAAACAGAAAAAAAGAATTAAAAGCTGTATTGATTGTATGATATATGGAATGACAATAGTTTATTGTTTAATTTGAACAAATGAATATGTTTCATATTTTGGTATATTTTATAATCATAATCAAAAATGTAAATGAGAGAAAAAAAAATTTATGATGAATAGTAATTAGTATTGTAATTGTTAGTTATGAAACTAAGTGAAATAACTAAACATATTCATGTTATCATGATGTAATACATTCAAGAGCCGGATATTTGCTTGCGTGAACACTTATGCGTAGGCACTTGCTCTCTACGATATTTTATGATATTGGAGTGTGTAACTTGTCAATAGTTCGTGGCTCATTAGGAATAGCACGATTGATTTTTTGAATTCCAAACTCGTTCATATGATTTTTTTTTCAAATTACTGTTGAAAGTCATGCTGTTCAATAGAACATGAACAACAGTGTTGTGTTAGACAGTACGTATTATTATGGGAAAAGTTTTGGATTATGACTTTGTACAGAAGTTTTGTAGAACAGACAAAAACATATATTTTTTATTTGGATACAAATTTATGCTGGCTGGTGAATTTTCAGAAGAAATTAGCTTTAACTATTCTTCATACTCATTCATTTTGATACATTCTTTAGAATTTTTTTATAACTGAGCTCTACACAAAGCGGTCTGCATTAATTCTTCATTCCTCTGGTACTAACCCAGTAGAGTTGGTCATCACCGGAATAGCTTTTACATGTATGAATTAGGACACTGATATGGTTAAATTTGAGCAAAGTCATTTCACTGTGAAGATGTCGAATAGGCCATTAATAACCCATTCATTTTGAATGACGTGAGAATTGAATGTAGTGTTAATTTGATTCGTAGCTATGTTATTATTTCATCTGTATAAAGCTGGAAAACTAGTTATTGTAAAAAATTATTTTTTGAAAAATATGTCATTTCAAGCGATGTGTTATGGTTAGATACTTGCAAAGACGACTATGTTCTGAATGAAATCAGGTCTTTCATTTTCTGGATCGTACAGGTATCGTTAATTTTTATTTTCAGTTTTTTCATATGGGATCATCGATTCTGATTCGAAATCATCCATTCCTATTCTTAAGATCCTGTCAAGAAGGAAGGCTACAACGAAATCTTTGGTCGATAATTAGTTATTTAAAAAATGGCCATGGGATGCTTTTTGGCTTGCTATAAGTTTTAAGAAAGGTTTTAGCGTGAAGATCATGTTATTCTATGACCTTATATCCAAAACAAAATAACTGTGGAAAATCCATTTTTCATGTTTCTCACTATGAATGGGTCAACAATGATCCGAGTCACTATGAAAAATGCTACTTTTACATCTGTAATCAAGATATTTTTAAAATCTACTATGCAAATAGATTATATTCGTAGTACTATATATATATGAACCTGATAAGTATCAGAATAATTAGTCTGTATAACTGAATAGAATTTAAAAAAGATTGATTCATTTATTTGAATAAACAATATTGCTGAACTTATAAATTTTAGTCAAGACATGATGAAGGGTCCGTATCACTTTGCCGATATGTACACTTTGTCGACAACTTGTTTTACAGACAAAATTTGTTAATATTAATAAAAACTGATCAATTTTTTTTAGAAAATTCTTTATTTTCTTGAGCTTTTTAAATTCTTTTAATCAAAATTACAAATACTCAAAGTGAAAGATTATGGGCAATGCCCCGAAGAAAATCCATAGTTGATCTATTANTGAGTTCTATTCTTTCAGAAACAACGTCATTTTTGTATTTAGCGTCAAAGTTATCGATGATTTTCATCATCGTATGCTTAAAAAACAGTAGTCATTTTAAAAAAACCCAAAAATGTTTTTCGTTTTTTCTCTGCTTATGCTATTTCTGATTGCACACCATAGATTTCTCTATAAGCTGTCATTCGATATATTTAATTTTTTTTGTTTGTTTCAAGGAACATATCATGGTGTACTAGAGTGCAGAAATCTTTCTTTTACAATTAAGCTTTGCTTTTATAACATATGCAAACACTTATATTAATAGACGTTCATTTTTAATGTAATCCATTTTCTCTGCTTAAGAAGTTGCAATTAAAAAAAATTGGCTCTGTACTTCATTGCATTCTGTGATGCTCTTTCAAACAAACAAAAAAGACAAACTAATTACATAAAAACAGACCTGGACAGAGAAATCTGGTTTGCTCAATGAGGTATTATTGACTCTTGATTGATGAGTATCTTCGTCAAATGTCAACGTATAGTTCTGAAAATTTTACTACGACTTCTCCATAACAGATTCAACATATACTCTAAGTTTCAGACGATTTGAATGTATCTGGCGCGAAATCGATTTCTCAGTGTGGATAAGGTCTAAAATGAATGAACTTGCCGAATTTCGGTTGATAGGTAGTGGTTATTTTTCTTTTAATTGATAAGCCATGCAAAAGTCTTTGGAAGACTGTTGAAATCTATTTTTTTGAATAATGAAACATCGGATTGATTTCAATATTTTTTTGGTTAGAAACAGCAAAGTTTGAAAAGTATATTCACAAAATAAAGCTATTTTTGGAATCTTCTATTTTAAATATTGTTTCTGTTCTCGAAGTCTTCAAAGAAATTGCCATTCTCGATTCCCGTGGGCAATGAGACGGAAAAAAATCGTTCCCGCAGGACGCTAATATATGCACAGTAGGCTTATTATAATTGATGTGCTTTTTTTCTTCATCTCTATAATGAACAGCAAACATGAAAAATTTCTTGACATCAATTTTAAATAAAAGCACCTGATGATCTTTATCTGATATATATATAATTAGTAGAAGAAATTTGTCAAGTTATTTGTGTAGGACTTAGTTTATTTTTTTCGTAATTGAAACCTATTGAGATGATTGATCACGGCAAAAACTTGAATAGGCTGTCAACTTTTGATTCGTTTGTTATTCGTAGAAAAGGCTTATCAGTAATCCGGATTTGTTGTAAAGAAGTTGCGAAATAACGAATACGATGACATAATCTCGTCGTTCATATTTTTTGTTACACATAACCAGTTATAATTTGTTTTCGATGAATTTTAACTTAATCTTTTCGTTTTGAAACAAATAGGCTAAATAGAAATGTTCTAAATCTTTAAAGTGATCATTACAGCATTGTATAGATTATCGAAAATGATTTTTGAGTCTTTACAATGAACGTATTTGATCAAGCCCGTCAATTATTCGATTTAAAGTAAGTCAAATAAAAAAAATTCTTTTTTTGTAACTGAGTTATTCTTGACAGTTTTAATACGGTCAGTATAAGTTTCAATCATTTATCTTTTGTGATTTAATGTATTTTAAATATTAGAAGGTAAAATCAAACTTCAAAGACGAATTAAATCACCTTCTTTTTTGCGAATATTCTTCCATTCGTTGAAAATAACTACTTTTCAAATTACAAAAAGAAATATTATGTTATGAAAGAGTATGCGTTTTTTTCTAAGTCAACTTTACAAGTAAATTAAAACAAAGCTGATCCCTATAAATGTGCATATAAAGCATAAGCTTTATTTGTATAGTGCCAAAGTACAACGAAATTAATTGATCTTTTCTTTATCGGATTATAAAATATCATTCATAAAAGTGATCAATTAAATGATAAAATTGACTAAATACAAGAAAACCGAACAACGAAAAGTTAAATTCATCGATAAACTGTTCAAAAAATATATATGTTATTATCTTGACAGATAAAACATTCGTTTTGAAACGAAAACATATTTTGACACAATGATGTCGCCAGTAATCACTATTTATTCTTTCACTGCCATCTACAAAATAGCATCATTGGTGTTGAAAAAAATATTATTTGTTTGTTCGCTTACATACACACATTGAATATCATTATTAACAAAAAAGAAAAAAAAAAACGGAAAACGTTTATAAACTATACGTTATCAATTGTTGATTTTCTTCATTAATCATTTCATTTCTAGATTATTAAATATTTCACATATTGAAAAAGTAAGATTTTTTGTCGGATCTTTTTTATTTAAAGAGAAAAGCAAAAAAGGGCGTCATTTAGAAAAGAGTAATTTTATTTTATTGTTTTTGTATGTTTGAGGCTATTAATCACTTTTACACATAATTAAGAGAGCGAAAGAATGAAACCGAAAAGGGATCAACGTTATTTTTTTGTTTTCGTCTTTCGTTAATCAAAGAAAACAAAAACGTAACAGTTCGGATTTATATTTTACTCATTTCTTTGTCGTTCATTCATTCATTTGTATCATATTTTTTTTTATCAGCGTATTTTCGTATAAAAAAAAAGATTACATTATCATAATATTAACTGTAAGCTATCATTCGATCAACAATTCAAAAGACGAAATACTGCTAGTTTTTTTTTTTCTCATAGAAAAATTTACATCAGAAATCAATATATCATTTGAATCTAAATTTATTATAATCGGTTCTATGTCATATATCGAAGTATAAAAAAATAATAAATAGAAAATATGTTCTATGTAAAATATTTCTTTCGTTCGTCTACATACCGAATATTTAAAATTTTTTCATACTAATTAAAAAAAAAAAATCATGTGCAGGTAAGATTTTTTTTTTTGTTTTTTCTTATTATACAAAAAAAAAATAAAAGATAATGAAAAGACGATCTCATTATATTCCTTTTTTTCCTATAATAGAGAATTGTGGCATTGCTTCATTACTATTTTAATTTCCTTTCAACAAATACATGGCCATGGTCGTATGGAAGATCCACCAGCTCGTAATGCCGCATGGCGTTATGGTAAACTACGCTTGCATATGATTATTTACAAATTTCTTATGTGCTTAGGTTTTGATGTTCCTGCTAATTATGATGATGTTGGATTGAATTGTGGTGGATTGGGCGTTCAAAAATCAAATGGTATATATTTGATGTATAAATTTCAAATATATCTATTCATATTTAGGAGGTAGATGTGGTGTTTGTGGTGATTCATATAGTGGACCACGATACCATGAAATGGGTGGTAAATATGCAACAAATATAATTGTTCGACATTATTTATCAGATGTATTAATTGATGTTAAAATTTTGGTAAGATAAAAATAAAAATATGATTCAAATATTTTTTTTCTAAACAAAAATTGTTTCTATTGATAGTTATCAGCAAATCACAAAGGTTTTATGGAATTTCGTTTATGTGCAGCATTAGATCCAAATATAGAAGTAACACAAGAATGTTTAGATCAAAATATACTTTATATAGAAGGATTTGGTAAACAATATACTGTTAATGAAGGCATGGATTTAATTTTTTTACGGTAAATAATTTCGAAAAAATAAATAATTATATTGTATGAAATTAAATCTTTATTTTTTTTATAGTGTTCAATTACCTCACGGTTTATCTTGTTCGCGATGTGTATTACAATGGCGTTATCATGCTGGTAATAATTGGGGTAAAAATATTGAAACAGGTGAAACATGTCTCGGTTGTGGTCAACAAGAAGAATTTTATAAGTAAAATATTTCTTTTTTTTTCACTATGTTTTGTTTCTTTATTTAAATTTACTTTTGTAGTTGTGCGGATATAAGCATCACGTCAATAAATAATAATTTGTTATTATCACATTCAACAACAATTGCACCACATTCGTTTTTGTTATTTCCATTTCTAAATCCAGTAGTTTTTTCTCCACCAACACCTTTTATTATTTATACAAAACCAACTGAATCGACTACAATACCAACAACGACATCAATGAGTTATATCTTTCCATTTCATCCATCAAAAGAATTAATTGAACAATTAGATAAAAATAATAAATCTCTTCGTTGTTATGCAACAAACGAAGCACTTAAACCATTAATTGGTATCGAAAATTGGTGTTTGCAATTATGTGCTATAAATTGTCCACCTACATTATGCATATGTGTCAAAATTTAAAACTATTTATTGTATTAGAAAAATAAAGAACTAAAAAAAAAAAAAAAAACAAATGTTTATTGTTTGTTTTGTTTTTCTTTTGTGTTTACCTCAATATTTATTGACAAAATGAAATGTATAATAGAAAAGAAAATATATATGTCTATATCTTATCTCTTCTTGATTTCAGAAAATAGAACTAAATTTTATATGGCTGATATTACTACTCTTCCTAATCAAAAAATGAGCAGACATAAATTGGTTAATCAAATAAATGTAAGCATCATTTGTTGTTGTTTTGTAAAGTATACAAAAAAAAAATTGAATTTTTGTTTTTCTTTTGTCTATCAGACGGAAGAAAGACTTGAAACACGCATTAATTATAGAAGTTTAATCAGCGATTTATACAGTGAGTTATTTTAATCGTTTGTTTATTTTATTTTTTGGTGCATGCATATTACTATAAATAATGTATGGCTTTTATTTTTGTTTTTGCTCACCTGAATAATTTTTATTTTGTTATTTAATACAAATTAATAGCACTTGCTCTTGTTGAACACAAAAATAACTAATCAAGAAATTAACAAAAATAAAATAAACATGAAAAAATGTATTAGTTCAGTATGTTCAATGGATGAATGAACATTTTCAACTGAGCAATCATTTTCTCACGGAAAACTAGTAGATGATTTCGTATATGACTATAAGATATTTCGTTAAGTCTTTATGTACTGATTTTCTAGACAAACAAACTTTTTGCTTATAATATTTTTTCTTATTTGGCCAAGTTATAGAGCATATCGAATTACCTAGAAAAAACAATAAATTCTCCTATTTCAAATCGTTTATTTCTGGTGCAGAAGATACAGTCATTTTAATTGATATAATAGATACATGCGTAATAGCAGATATAAGTTAAGAGCAGTTGTATTTTTGAGTTTTCTTCTCAATAGTAATAGTTAGAAAGAATCTGAAAGAAAAAATATTTGAATAACTGAAAGGGTTCTCTATCAGATTTTGTGAACCTAAAAAGTTCCAATAAGACTGTTTGAATGAGAATGTTTAGAAAACCAAGACATTCCAAACTCAGTTTTTTGACATTCATTGGAAGCAATTTGCAGATGATTTTATTTGATAGAGCAAAATGAAATATGTCGACACTCTTCGTCAAACTTCATTCAATTTACAGCAAATCCAAGAAGGCAGTTTGATGAAGAGTGATGAGACATCTCATTTCGCTCTATAAAATAAAATCATTTCTAAAAAGCTTCAAATGGATGCGCACAAACTAATTTTTGGAAGTGTTGGTTTTCCAGATATTCTTATCCAAACAGTTTTTAGGTCCATCAATCCTAATAGAGAATCTTTTCAGCTACTGAAATCCTTTTTTTTTAGATTCTTTCTAGCTATTACCATCAAGAAGAAAACTCAAAGCCACAACTACTCTAAACTTTTCTCCGTCATTATATAGTAATATTTCCATGCAAAAACCTTAAAGACAATATTTTACTGAAAACTCACTTTTGTAAAACAGAAAGGATTATTGTCTTATAAATAACTCGTATAGTCAATTGCCTATAATCCACTAGCTTTTGGTGACAAAGCGATTGATCAGCTAAAAACGTTTCTTTATGAGTTGATTATATATAACTGTACCAGCAAAAAAAAACGGTTGACAGATGCTTTGCACATAGATTAACAACATATTTTGAATGTCACATATTCTCATTGTAGAGTGTATAACCCTAAATACGAAACATTTTTCTTTTCGAGCGCATAAAAAATCTAATTATATAGAAGATCTTATTTCTATTTTGTGGATCATAACAATCACTTCTCAAATATAAATTATCATACGATGTCTTTTGTTGCATGACGAAACGAGGAATCAACTATAATACGCTTTGATATGTGAAAGGAGGATAATGTATGGCAGACATAATGTCCTCTATTCGCTCTTATTCGGCGACATACAGGATTACCTATGGCAAGCAGTGAACTGAATTGTCATTTAAATTATTCCATAAACTTATCACTCGAATGGTTTTGTTAAAAGCTTAAAAAACATAATTCTCAACTTGCACTCAACATTTTTCTATTCTATAATTATCATTAAATATGATCTTAACTATTAGAATATATAAAGATAAATATTTTCTTTGTATAATTTTCAGGTAATAAATCTGAATTAACTCAACCTACAAATAAACAATTATTTGATCAATTAAATATGTGCAATACATTATTTGAAGATGGTAAAACAAAAAATATATTGAGCTAAATTTCTATTTCACATTAACGTTTTTCTTGTTTTAGTTCGAACACCACGTGAAGGTGTTCTTGATATAAGTATGTATTTAATATTTATCGTTTTGTTAAACACAATCTCCAAGGAGTGTTGAAGTATATCGAGTAGCAATTTGTACATCCCAGAGGCGATGACAGATGTTCTTGATAGACGATCAAAAACCGTATATCAATAACATTTTGTTAATATTTCCTTACTACATTTCAGAAGGATTAAGTAAAAAGATGGGTGAAGCAGTATGTTTCAAAATAGATAGAATAAAACAATCTTCTTGTGATTAGTACGAGCAGCTACATCGTATTTCATATTTTAATCCTGTAGGGATTGCGCTAACAGCTTCGTTGTTTTTCTTTTTGTTATTATAAATTTAATATTTAGTTGCATTAAAAACTATATCATCGTTTGCTCGTATACAAACTATTGCTATTGATAAAAAATCTACAACTGAAGATGCTTTTAAATTAATGCGAAAATGTGTTTGTAGAAAAATTTCGTCTGTTGTTGTTTTTTTTTAAAGAAAATTTTTCTTTTTGTTAGGCTAAAATTATTAAAAGAAATATGACAGAAAGTGATGATGTATTTGCAGAATTTTATATTGATTTTTGTCATTGTCATAAAAATACAGGTGTGATGAATTTTATGTAAGAAAATATTTTAAATAAGAAATAATTCATTTGAATTTTTATTTAACTAAAAACAAAAAAACAGGTCTGGACGTTTACCAACGTTTTGGTTTGAAAAACGAAGTTTAGAAAAATCATCTATGAAACAACGAGCTCGTCGAACTAAAGATATTATTGATTTATCACAATATACTCAAATACAAGAAGTAAATGAAATTAAAATTTAGAAGTCTTGAAAATGAAAATATTTATTTAGATTAAAAAAATGTCATCAAATGGTGAACAAACATCGAAAGAAATTATTCAAATGAATCGATGTTTAGAAGAAGCCTATGAAAATAATAATAGTTTGTATTTAATTGTATTGTTTTATTTTTGAAAAATATTCTTTTGTTTTTATTCTTTTTTTTTGTTGTTGTAAAGATCAACCAATTAGTTTTTTTATGTTTACAATTCATCCAACAAAGTTTTCTCGATCAGTTGAAAATATATTTCATATATCATTTCTTATTAAAGTAAGTAAAAATAATAATTCGATTTTAAAAATAATTGTTTTGATTTTTAAAGGAAGGAAAAGCCGAATTATTTTTGGATAATAATGGTTTACCTGTTTTACGTAAGTTATTTAATTTAAACAAAATAAAGAAAAAAGACAATTAAACTTTATACTAGAATACATTTATGTTTATCATTTTAAATATTTTATGAATAAGACTTGCCCATCCTTTATTGCGTGTTCTTTTTTTATTTTTCGAATACAAAGATAGTATGTAATAATACACTCAGTTACAAGAAAAAGATAAGCATCAATTATAAATATTAGTGGTGTAACCAAACAAGAAGGATAGAACAAACTCAGCTCTCTTAAAAGACCTTGAACTTCTCTAGAAGCGTTACAAGAAAGTCTTTTCTAATTAGGTAACCAAGTAGGACCGAACGCCTTTCTACCCCAGTCATGTTACTTTCTACTATCAAAATTCTTGTTAGATCACTCATCTCTACCCCACTTTCAAACATGCTCAGATGGCTAAGATTCTATTACATTTTTTGTTCTAATTACATAACAGTTAGATACCGCTTCATTGTAATTATCGAATGCAATGTAGTGTTTCAATTATGCACGCAAATTTGAAACTTATCTGTAGTTCAAGATTCTAAGATATACATAGATGTGATATTACACTAGTGGACTTGTGTAGGATAAAAATGATGCTGAGTGAAATCATCAAAAATATTCTAAGGTTATAAAAGCTCTTGAATATAATTCATCAAATATAAGTGGTTATTACAACAATTATTCATTTCTCCTACGAGCCTGAACTCTTAGCTTCTAGAAATGTAAGGAAAAAAAAAAGTAAAGCTCTCTTTCATTCATATGTACGACTACAGGAAACATGAGACGATGTTTAATCCTTAATTGTATCTAATGATAGAGCGAACTGTATAGGTATGAGAATAGAATTCAACTTATATTAGATAACGATAATGGAGAAAAGTTAAACATATAAGTATTAGTTTTTCGAGCGAATGAATGTTTTTGAAATCAATGTCAATTTTATTCGAGAAGAACTTTACATTATTGATTATGTTTAGTATTACAAAATGATAATAGAAAAATAAATAATTGAACCCTATAATTAACTAGTTCCTTCTTGAGAACTTTATAATGTACACTTGAGAAAATCAAAATAGATTAAAAGAAAATAAATATTTGAATGAAAGATTTTCTTTAAAAATTTTTTTATAAATATTTAAATTCTTGATTTTGTTTGTATTTAAGGTCCATTGACCAAGTCTAATGAACCAAATGATAGTAATATGAATATTAATCTTTCATCATCAAGTACAAAACCACATCAAGTCGATTCTTTAACTCAATTAATTTTATCATTAGATATCGAACAATGGGAAAATTTAGTTGATGTATTTCATATACAAACATCAATGATTAATGATAACAATTAATATTCTAGTCAATATGAAACATTTTCTCTATTTTCTTATTGTTTTTGTTCTTGATTTTATTTTGCTTTTCTTTATATCAGATATATAACTTTTCAAAATAACAATTAGTAATCATGATAAACAAAAGATTTCTTTTTCTTTAGATAAACATGTCAGCTGGTATTCTACCAGATATGTATCGATATACAGCACGAAAAAGTACCGTATCAAAAAATCCAAAGCCATCAAATATATCATTATGTAATAATTCAACAACACATTATTCATCATATCATGATGATAATAATCCAAAACAACAACAAATATTTGATACAATTGAGCATAATATTAAATTAGAAAAAGATGTTCCACAACAACAACAACAGCAATCATTTATTATTGTACCTGATAATGAAATAGAACAAATGATTATCGGAGAAAATAATGAAAGAACAACTGAAGAAATATTAAATGATATTGTTGATGAGATTAAAAATCAAATTATTGAAACGTCTATTATATCGAATTCAAATCAGGTTATATAATTTTAATTATATGTTAAATATTTTCTTTTTAATTATTATTTAATTTAGATAAGAAAAACTTTTTCAATAGATACTCAGGCTGTTCATGATGCTATCGATTCAATTATGAATCATATTATTGAGAATGATAATGAAGAATGTAATTATTATTATTTTCTATTTTCAGTTTTTTTTTTTTTTTATTTTCTAGTTTTATCTACAAAAATAGATAATAAAATAGAAGAAAATGTAAATAATAATAATAATAATAATATCCAAGAAATAACACCTATGGAAAGTGATCCACCAATACCAATTAATTCACGATCACAAATCGATGAGGATATTGTTGAAATTCAAGGTTTGTTAAAATTTATTACTTCTATCAAAATTAAAATTCTGTAACATATAAATATTAATGAAAATATTTTCTAATCATAAAAAATGAGTAAACAGAATCTAAGATTATGATATTTGCATTCTTCCGGACTAATATTTTCTTTTTTGTTTCGTTTGATATAAGTCTTCACTCAATTTATGGTTCTTGTGTATTTTTAATCAAAAACTTCTATGATATAATTTCATTCATTGAGATTCAATTGATTGAATGATACAGGTTTCTTACACATATTAATTCAAAAACATAAAATGGCTTCAAAGATTCAATGTTTATAATTGAAAGACGTAAAATATGCTTTTCATTTATTAGAAAAATATACGTCGAATCTTTAAGAAAAGCTTGTTAACATAAACTCTTTGATGGTGAAATGTATAATTCACATTGCCTCATTATTAGTAGTGCACATATTGGTTCATTAAATCTACACTCTTTTCTTTGCTTGTTTCTCTCTTTGATCTTGAAATTCCCATTAATGTTCTTCGCTATGCAAGGCTCTTGTTTTTACGTACATAAATATGAGTGATAGCAGTATTAAAATGATTGATTTACACGTACAGTTGCCATGAAAAACTATCAACTTTGGTCACTAAGCTTTGTAATTGGGTAAGAGGAAGTCGAGAAAATTCAATTTAAAACTTAGGCTTACTATATTCCAAGAAAATATATATGACTTCCACGAAAGAAATCGATTATTATTTCCCAAGTGAAAACAGATGGTTTTTTTTTCTTACGAAGGAAAAATCCCAATAGTTTAACCGTTTTCCGTTTGAAACTATTGCCATTTGATCATCCAGGTTCTCAGCAGGCAAAAAAATCGAGTAAATTATTCGTAACTCAACAAGTAAAGATCAGGAAACCTAACCAAAATAGACTTTTTCATCACTCATCAAGACCTATCTAAAAGTCTTTCGATCCTTGGAAACGTTCCTTCATTAATTCGGGAAATATCATAACCTTAAATCTCACTACGAAAGTAAATAGAATTCTATTTACTTTCGTAGTGAGATTTAAGGTTATGATATTTCCCGAATTAATGATGGAACGTTTGCAAGGNTCTATAGGGATCGATAAATTTACAAAGTTATTTAGGGAGATACTGACAAAGTTCAGTTCGTGGAAGTCTGACGACGAAAGTACCTTCATTGTAGTTGATTTCTTTTCTAATGAACAGGTACAGGTTGAAGTACAAATATAAAACATGATAGAAAATTTCGCTCGCTTTCAGAATATATAGTTAACTTTAACATGATACATTTATTCTTCTAGGATCAACAAATCGTACTATTCGTCCAAATCCTACTGTTCCAAATGGACAGGTATAGTAATAAAAAGAACAAAACAAGTTCATTTGGTGGATATTAGAAACTTCTTTATTTTTATTTATACTTGAGAATGTTCTCAACTATTTTATAATTTGATCTTAATTTAAACAAATTCTTTATATAAACTCCTAAAAAAAAAATAGTTTTAGTCGATTTTTTAAATATACTATCACTGGAAAAACTCATTTAAAAATAAGTTAACTATATATTCTGAAAGCGATCGAAATTTTCTATCATGTTTTATATTTGTACTTCAACCTGTACCTATTCATTAGAAAAGAAATCAACTACAATGAAGGTACTTTCGTCGTCAGACTTCCACGAACTGAACTTTGTCAGTATCTCCCTAAATAACTTTGTAAATTTATCGATCCCTATAGAAATATTTCTCTATAAAAGATGGTAGTTAATTTTTTTTTCAGCCAGTAGGTGTAGGTTCAAACATAAACAAAGAAATTGATAGAAAATTTCGAGCACTTTCAAAATCTATAATTAATTTTTTTTAAATGTATTTTTATGGTGATAGTCGATTTAAAAAAAATCGACTAAAACTATTTTCTTTCAAGGCTATGTATTTCAATTTTGATCAGGCACATTCACTTTATCAGTTACTATGATATGCTAGTTTTAAGTTACATTTGATAGATGAAATGAGAAATAAGAAAAAAGAACAAAATCTTGTTTCTTCATAAAATAGATACATTACACTCTAAAAGAAAATTTCTGTTACAAAATTTAAAAAAAAAAACGTTGTGCCGAATTTGTATTCATGTGAAGAACTTTCTTAGAATGTACAGTACGATATCAATTGAATTTCCCGTTTGTTTTTTTTTGTTTTTTTTTGTGTATTTAAAATATAATTGAATGATTAAATTCTTAATTTCTATTCAGACATTTCCCTTACGTCCATTACCTGAACATAATCCTTGTGATCACACCATAGCTCGACCACAATTAAATATTACACAAGAAAATACAACAGTACGTTTAACATGGAATTTACAATCAACACCAATGGAATCTATACAAAATTATGAAATCTATGCATATAAGCAAAATGCAACAGTAACAGCATCAGATTGGAAAAAAGTAAAATTATTTTTAAAGAGAACTCCTATTGATTAATATTCTTTTATTTAAGATTGGTACAGTTAAATCAATGCGTTTACCAATGGCAGTTACATTAAAAGAATTTCAATCTAATAGTCATTATGCATTTGCTGTTCGTGCAGTATCAATTAATAATAATATCGGTCCATTTTGTGAACCGAAAACAATTTTTACTGGAAATACACCAGTTCAACCATTACATACAAGTCAATTACTCAATGTATCTACATAGTAAAAATAAATCAAGTTCTTCTAAAAACAAAACAAAAAAATAAAACATATTACATTTTATGTGTGTTTGTAACATAACTTTAGCACACACGTTTATCTGTGGATTTAAGTGTTAGTGTTTTCTTTTTTTTTTTGGACATGTTCTTATTTCTTGTCTGTTTGTTTTCTTTTTTCTTTTGGTTGTGCTTTATATGCACAAAATACGTATTATGAAAAGAAGCTTCTTTTTTTTTTTTTTTTTTCATTTTTGTTCGTTCGTGTATTTGATGATGAAAAGAAATGACATTAATGGTGTTCTTTTTTTTGACAGATGTATAATGACTTCCAGTGAAGAACTTATTGAATTAGTTAAAAAATTAAAACGTGAACGATCATTTGTTTCTGCTGAACAAAAACGTATACATGAACAATATGCTCAAGTAATTATAATAACAAAAAAAAAAAAAACTTCTTATTTTCTTTTGTATGTAAAATTATGAATTTCATTTTATTTTATTTTTTTTGCATAGCTTCTTAAACTTGCTGAACATGTTCAACATCGTCAATGGATAACAAGTCATCAACGTTATATACTTTCATCTTTAATATATCCAAATCGTAATGATCAAAATATTCAACCAAAATCATGTTTTCAATATATACAAATTCTTGATAATATATCATTTATTGATTCATATAAATATTTTAATTATTTACAAGACTTACCTTATTTACGCATATTAACTTTTCTAAGACAACAACCAAATTTATTAGCATTATGTTTAGCTAGTATTGAAAAAAATGATTCTTCATTAACAAACACAATAATACCAATATTAATGTCAGCTTTATATAATCAATGTTTATATTATGATGATGAATTATTTATTCTTGAATTACTTCGTTCATTAATTGATATACAATTAAAAAATGAATCAAATCCAAGAATTATTTTACAACGTTCATGTTCATTTAAAGTTGTTTTTGATGCTTTTTTAACAGCATCACAATCTTGTAAATTATGTAAGTTATACAAATTTTTTTTTGTTAATTCTTACAAAGAAAATTATTTTTTTTATTTAGTTTTAACGGCTGCATTACATGAGCCTATTATGCAATTACTTATTGATGTAAATATTTTAAATTTTATTGCTAAAAAAAGAAGAAAACGTTTGTTTTTTGTTTTGTGTTATTATCTAGGATGAATGTTTTTATGATATTAATCCAGATATTTCATTGAATCGATTTTCGAAACAAGAACGTATAAAAAAGTAAGTAGAAGTGCTACTCAACCGACCATTTAATAGACAGTTTGACGCGTCGATTTAAGCTCCTTCGGGTTGATATCAAAGTTCTATGTTGAGCCATTGACTTGCTACATTCCGATAGATGAGAGCTCGGCATTAGTTTATGGCAACAAAAAGATTCCGACCACTCCAATGATTATTTCCAAGAGGTTCTGAAATCTATCGAATATACGCGAAGGATGAAATTCTATAAAAATATGACATTTGATAATCAATTGATTTGTATGATTAAGAAGGCTATCAGATTTTGAATCTTAATTTGCATCGATTGATGTTAAATATTGCTTAGAAATGTATAAATGTATGTCGAATATGAATGATTCTGTTAAGATCATTTGAATAAATGTTCAAGATATTTCAAAATCGCTTTGTTTTTTGGAAAAAATTTCACGTCATCGAAAATTAAACTCAACAATTGAAACTATTATTTAAGTACTCGAAACTTTGAGGTGTGGAACATGACTAATCGATAGGGTACAGTTTTCGAAATTGAAATAGAACAAACAAAAAAATCTATATTTCTAATTTTCGATTGTTCATCACATCCAACATCTGCATGAGTCGACAAGATTTTCAATGAGAAAAAAACAAAATTTTATTTTTAGATTTGGTACATCAAGCACACGTGATTATTTAGATAAAATACAAAAATATCGTAATGTTATACTAACAAAATTATATACATTTACATGTACATTTATTGAAAGTTTACGTAGTGCATTAGATTTTTTTCCAACATCTTTATCATTTCTTATATCACAAATGTTTATTATATTATCACAATCAAGTGAATTATCATCACGTGAAATACGTTGTTTATGTTGTGATATTATTATGACATTATTTATTGGACCAGCTATATGTGAACCAGAAAAACATGGAATTATTGCTGATATACCAATAAGTACAATAGCACGACATAATTTGAATCAAGTAAATTAATTTTTGAATGAAATATATATGAATATTCTTTTATTATTTAGATTGCTATTATACTTCAAACACTTGCTATGTCAAATGATATTGAATCGAAAACAAAAGATCTTTATAATAAATTTAAAGAGGTGATTAGAATAAAATTTTTTACATTTTTTTTTGTTTTTTTTCTAATTTAAAGAAATTATTTTAGTCAGAATCATTTATTTCTGTGAGTTTTTTTATATATATATTGTAAAACTTTTGCCTAGAATAAAACAAACATTTGCAAAACCTTTAACACTATATCGAATATGGGGGAAAAAATTAAGCTTTAATCACATTGATTTTGTCGAATTGTTAATCTAATCATGTGCAAGATCAAAAATTAATTTTACGTTAGATAAACGATTAGATTAAGAAAGAAAAAACATAATAGTACTTTAATGAAACATAATGTTTAATTAACAACTCTCACGACTTGTTTTTTTTGGGGGGATTAATTTATGAACTTTGATTTTTATTTAGCATCGAATGAAAAAGAAATTAGTTAAGGTCGACTACTTGACTGAGCCTAAGGGTTAATTAAATATAGGCAACATGATCTTAGTCCTGATGCAACCGGGATCAAAAGCGACTAGTCCCGCTTATATCTAAAGTTGAATCTTCATGTTATATATTAATCAATATATAAATCTAAGGGTAATAAATACTAGTGATGATTGTGAATGTTCTAAACCTAATAACAAGAGTTTAACAATCGATCGAATGATTGATAATTTTACTGTTTCATTCGGCAAATGAACTTTCTCAGGCATGTATTTTAGAACTTGTAATTACATGTACATCTATCTATTATTGAAATAATCTTTTAGTGAGTATTGTAAAAACGAGACTTGCTCGAGTTTATGTTCTCTTATCCATTTAAAAGTGTCTCCTTCCTAAACCTATTCCTGAATAACTTGTTCAAAGATTACACATTATTGTGTAACTTGAAATGATTAAATTTTCTAAGCTTTGTTCTTTATCTTTGCATATAATTTTATTAATAAATCGACAAAATTTTTCCATATTCGCATGATATTAAAAAATTCACGATACACTTATATGCACACCATTATTCCAATGGTTGACTTTCTATTTGTTTGTGTGTTACTGCACTATTTTTCAATTATTTTTTTCTTGAAAAAAAAAAATCATTTTTTTTCCAATATCTTATTTAGAATTGTGTATCAAGTATATTAGATAATGTTATTGATTCAAGTCGAAATGTTATGTTTCCAGTACGTTCGTCAACATTATCATCGAGTAATATAACAAGAAGTGTTATTTTAATAACACAAAAACAACTTCGACAATTGGTTAGATAATATTTATTTATTTGTTTAATAAAAATAAAGCAAAAAATTTCTTTAGATTCTATTTTGTCGTCGGGCAGTTAATGAAATTAATGATAATGATTTAAAACAACAATTAGATACATATTTACGAACATTAGTACCATTAGAAGAATGTCTTAAATCACCTCCTACTTTATCTTTATCATCAACTTTACTTATTAATGAACAACAAACAGACCATAATCATCGACATCATAATCGAAAAACAAATGGAACACGAGGTAAAAAGAAAAAGAAAGAATTTCATTTTGTTCGAACAAGAAAATAAAATTGATTTTTTACAGATGCATTATCTCAAAAATCTGAACGTATTGAAAATATTCAATTTCCTGAAGAAGTTATTGTTTTTACATTAGAATCTAGTGATAATGAATGTCCTGGAATGTTATCAGAAGAAAAAGTAAATTATAATTATTAATATTGATGAAAAATTACAACAATAATTATTTTATTTTAGGTATTACAAGAAAATGAAAGAACAAAATTAATAAAAACATCAAGTGCAAATGAATTTGATCAATCAGCTACGGAAAAACGATTACGTTTTCGTTTAAATGATAATTGTAGTGTTGGTAATATAAGTGATAATTTCGAAGGTCTTGAAGGTATAAGTGAAGGTGCTGCATCAACAGGTAATTTAAGTGTTACATCATCATGTGATGATCTTGATAAAGCCACGAATGAAATTGAAACTGATCCATTATTTGATAATGGATCAGTTAGCGGAAGAGGTAATATTAATTTTAATATTGTCATTTCGACAAAAAAACAATCTCTTTTTTTTCTGGTTTTAAGCAACACCAAACTTATCCGGTCGCGATACACCTTCTTCACATATTAGTCTTGATAGTAGTGATCGACGAACAACAAGTACAAATAATGCTCATATTCATACACAAGATAGTGTTATAAATAGTCAAACAACAACAACAATAAATGCAAATCATAATTCTCTTATGGGCTCAGTACAACGTGGGCCAGCTTTACCTATTGTTGTACAAAAACCATTTCGTGAAGATGTACCAGATAAATTTAATTTATTTGATTTACCACAACAACGATCGACTTTAGAAGCAGGTATTTACATAAATAAAATAATAACAAAAGTTATGTAGTATAACTCTTGAAGAATTAAAATGTAAAGCACGACGTACCTGCTTTTGCTAATCATAGCGAGATTATTTTATTTTTCTCTTTTTTGGAGCACATGTCTTTACTTAAAATCCTCTATAAATGCAATGATGCTGTAGTTCATAATATTATAACGAGACGTTACTGATACATGTAGAAGTATAAGCAAATGCATTATTGATCGGCAGCGACTACATAAGTCGCACAACGAAACGTTACCAAATGATATATTGCTTTTAAGCTAGAATTATATTCAATCGATGAGGCCT